TTCCTCAATACAACTTTGTAATGTACTTAATTTTCACAGTTACACACACTATAGTTAGGCCTGTACCCACACATTTCTTATTTTGTACATTATTCCATCATGTGTTGTGCAGTATCATTATGGATCAAAATAATTAACAAAATTATCAATTAAAATGTAACTGAAAAACCATGATAAATGTTTCAGATCTTTATTTTTGTTTTGTAAATGTGGATTGTTGTTTATATGCAATACACAGGGCTGGATTTAGACCCTTTGAGGCTCACATGCAATATTGTGATGTTAAAGTTTTCCTTCCTAGCGTGATCCAAAATTGAGAATTCCTTCTTTGGTGCTTGAGGCTCGCATGCAATTGCATGGGTTTCACCCCCTCTAAATGTGACACTGGCAATACATATATTTCTGTAAGAAAGCAGTGCTTTGTTGCTACATTCAAATACGTAATTGTAGAACTAAACACAAAAGTATGTAAATCGTAAGGAAACCTTGTACTTTGTCTGTTAAACTCAAAACTGTAGGCCTTCTTTTAGCATAGACATTTTCTAATAAAACTGTATCCTTGTGTGTTTTAGGTCAACAGAACCTGTAATAAAAAGTATAATGTAATTATATACTTTTATAAAGTAGTTTCATGCTAAAATACTTATTTAGAAAAAGAAGTAATATATAACTTTTTAAGAATTTCATATGAACATGACCCATTGATTACTATTTGCTGGATCAGAGTATTCTCAATGTGTCAGAGTAGAAGTTGTTAGTAATCACTTCAGTTGTTATTCAGTCTTTTGTTTTGTGCTTTTCATATACTAAAATCCCTTTTTTCCACCAATCTTGTGTCTTTTGAGCCTCTGGTCATGGCAATTTTAGATTGGTGATTCATACTGAACTTTGGACAATCAGTTATTCACTATTTCTTCACTCAAGAGGGATGTTGCCTCTTGACATCCAAATCCCGCATACATATTAATTTGGCTAACTTAGCTATTTCTGCATATAAAAATAAATTAATATATATATACAAAGTTATTAGAATTTTTAATTTCTCTCTACCTTCCAACTTTTAGTTTTGGTCTCAGATGGAATGATAACCTAGAAGGGTGGGCATAGACTAGTTTCATTGTATGTGTAAACATATATTAAAAAGCTCTGGTTTAAGGAGCGGTGACACTGAGGGTAAGATCTCATGAATGTAACATCCAAATGATTAACAAGAGTGCTGGGAGTTAGGCTTGATACAACAGTTAAAGTAATGAAAAAACACTTTATTATATATATATATATATATATATATATAACATTAAGTATTTATTTCAGTTAATAAATTAGCATACTTTTAGTTTGGCCAGAGATAAATTATGCCATGCACTCTCATAGGACATTTAAGTGGAATAAATGCCAAAAATATTTTCTTTCGGTTTATATATATTAACTGTATTTTCAAAATAAGGAATTAATTTGCTCATTCCTAAGTGTGTCAGTTTAAAAGTGTTACTGATAAGTTTAATATGCATTTGTATTATTTTGCATACTCCAATCAAAGATATAAGATTATAGTAACAAAATCTAAGACACATTTCCACTAAGTATGTGCTAAAAAGAAAAATAGTTTAGACAGCAGGCTTTGTAAATTGTTTGCTCATAAATCAACTTTGTGAATGTTATTTTTCAGTATATAAACAATTATTTTACTGTAGTAAATGTCATGTATATGTGTGAATTGGATAGCTTACATAAATATGATTTCTGGTGAATTTTTGTGGCATTAAGTAATTATCTGATATTAATAATGTTAAAAGATTACTTCATATTAACAATTGCACTTATGCCTATAGGTACACTTTGATGGCCTTCAGCTGGGCTGCTGCACCTGAGAAAAGACCAAGTTTTATTCAGTTGCTTGTCTGTTTCCAAGACTTTTACAATGCTCTAGGGCTATATGTTTGATCTATGTTAGCAATTGCAGTTGGTAAAACGATCTCTCAGGTCAACACAGAGTCAAAGAAAGGAGTAATTTCTGTCTATCATCTATTTTACAGCTTTTATAAGAATGAAACTCTTAGTCTTTAACATTGTATTCTTTGATGTTCTAATTATTAAGTGCCACGAATTTCATGTGCAGAAAAGAAACTTTTGAACCAAAGTGATCAGTGTCGACCTGAGGTAATACTATGGGTCAGACAATGTAACATTACATTTTATACCTAGGTTCATCAATATTAATCTCCAAAAGCAAGGATACATCTCAGTTTGTATCTACCTTTAGAGTTTCTAAGAAAATTGAAGTAGTCTGGTTTTATATTTAAACTGAATAATATCACTAGAATGACTACACAGAGACAAGTGATAGTTTTTATAAAACAATAATTACTTAAGGTAACTTAAACTTATTAACACTATTTCAGATAAGAAAAACTCCAGTTTTACCTGATTATTGCTGTTTGACTGTCCATTAAAAAATCTGTACTGAACTATAGTTTATTTATGTCAGGCATTATGTCTCACTGACTTTTATACTGGTATTGACCAAGCAAGTATGTGTTTGGGTTTCATTGTAAATTGTTAACAGTGAAGTGGTCTTTCATGTCGTATTAAATAACACATATTTAAGTGCTTTACTTACTGAGAGTTTCAAACAAAGTTGTTCAGATTTACTATTCTAATAGACACAATTAGTCCTGATGAAATAACAAGTTGCATTCTGATTTAATTTGAAAGAAGAAATGCCTTTAAAAACTCGTTTTCTTTGAATCTTTTCATCTATTAGCTTTTACATAGTAAACATACATTATTTTATCATCATGTATGGGTCCACTCACTATTTGACCATGCATTATATTTTAGAATGGGAATTGGGCCTTTATTAAAAAATGGAAATTAATATATAAAAGTAACATAAATGTTTTTAGTTTTATCAAATAAAAAATATAAAATCCTTGCTTGTTTCATAATATATTTTTACTCTGAAGAATTGTCACAAAAATAAGGGCATGTTGGATTTCAAGATATATCAAACTCTGTAAACACAATATTTTTCAGTAATCCTTATTTCTAATTGTGCTGTTGTATATAATTATGTATATTTGTTCCCCACAGCCATAAGATTAAGATAATTCTATTAATTAGACCAGTTAGTAAAATATAGTTGAAAATATGAAATGTAACCTCAAATAGAGAAGAAAAAAGTCATAACGTGGTCCAGTATTTTCATGTTGAATCTGTTGTTGATTATACATTTTAGTTGTTAAAGTTTGTTCAAGTGGCTGAGGGTGACATCTGTTCCAAAGGTTTGAAAATTTTTCACATTTGTTAGATGTGTGAAATATTGTTTAAATGTATTTAGAAGCTTTTATGTTCACTAAATGTTTGTATTGAAATGATTGTATATATACTTCATGAAATTCTTGTTCTTTGTTGTTTAGTAAAAATGTCATCAGATGCTTAAAAAAAGCATATCTTGTGAATTAGATATGCTTCTGGAAAAAGATAAAAGCTCTACTTCATTTTTCCAGTCATAAAGCACGTGGATCAAAAACAACTAAACTTCTGTTTATCATTTTTATCTACTGGTGATAAACTGAAATGATGGCTCTTGATAATGTGCAGTATAGTAATACATAACTCTGAACCCTCGTGACCTGTGTGATCATTTTTTTTTTATAGTAGTTTAAACAAATGAGTCATATTTTTAAAACCTGACCAAAACATAAAGTTATCATACTTGCTGATATCATTCTTCCTTTCATCATATAATAAAGAACTTGCTGAAAACAAAGCCAAAACAACAACTGGAATTCTTTTGTTCTTGTTATACAACTTTTGTGATTAATAGATTTGCTTTTTTATTTACAAGAAAATGTAAAAAATACTTCAAACTGGTATGAGATACATGAAGTGCTTTATGTAATATGAAATCATAAACTATGTTTTTGTCATATATTTACTGCATTCTGATATCCTATTCCATAACTGGTTTTCTGGTCCAATGAGCTGTTTAGTGTTTGAAGTGAATAATTAAAATTCTCTTGCCAAAATTCTTAGGATGGTTCTGACTGAAACACAAGTTTTAATGCTAGTCAACGTTTATTGATGGTTTGTGTATCTGTTCTTGACAGCCAATATAACAGCTAATATGTTTATAACCATTTGTAAAATTTTGTACAGCTGTTTTGGTATTTTCATGGTGTTTCTTCTATAGCTATAAAACGCTCAATGAGATGACTTGTCCATTGTATGGTACTATTATGCCAAATGTATAAATATACATATATAAAAGATCTTTGTCATTTTGAATTTGTGTTTGTTATTTTCATACAAAATCTAGTATTTTTTATTTCCTTCAGACCTTGATAAAATAGAGAAAGATATTAAATTCCTAAGCACATTGATAATCTTCATTTCTCATGTGACATTCAAAACTCAACAGTTGTAAAAGTTTATGTACACACATTGTCAAAAAATTAAACACTTTATAAAAATAGATATTTATTTGCAATTAAAAGCTGTCTCAAACAGTGTATGCATTAATTTATACTAAAAAACTGTATAAAAATACAAACATGATATAATCACTTAAAGCTCAACACATAATAAACATGAACTTTATTTAAATTTTGATTCATTATTAAAATATATAGTATTTGAATCTCAGCTATAAAATTGAGTTTTCAGCTTGTTGAAAAAATATTTATAATTTTTAAACTTAAAGCAGTTTCAAATAATGTTCAAATATGATTTTAATTCCAAATAAAGCTTATGTATAAAAATATATATAATATTAATAATTACTATGGTTGAAAAGTAAGCTTACTGTGTACATTATATTGTTACGTCTCCGTTTGTTAATTAACTTTCCGTAACTTCGTTCCGACGAAACTTTAGCGACACAAGTCCTTACTTAATAAAACTGGTTTATTCTTTCCGAATACAACTTTACGATACACTTATTTTCAACAAACGATATAACTCTCAAAGAACGTCTCTTGTGCTCTCTGACTGCAGTTCAATTACTAACTGTCTACACACACCTTACATTATTGCGTCACGTTGTCACCCTCTTATATACCCCCAGCCTACCCTATCTAGTAAATACTAGAGCATTCGCCAAAGTACGGGATAATTCTAGAAACTAGAGGGCGTGAGAATAGTCACGTGATCTCGTCGACGCAACAATATATATTTTGATACATAATGTAACGTTTTGGGAACATGTGACCTAGTATTCCATCTTGGCTGTTCCATCTTCTAAACTAAACGAAAACTATTAATAAATAAATTTTAAAAAAATTCTTAAAGCCAGACCTTATCATTAATCTACTTATCAAGCTTTCTACTAAACTCACTTAAATTTACTGCTCCCACAACATCCAAAGGCAACCCATTCCATAAGCCAATCCCCCTGTTAGAAAAATAAAACTGTCTTAGCTGAAGATGACTCCTACCCTGCCAAAATTTATATTTGTGTCTTCTAGTCCTACTATTCTCACTGTTAAGTATGAAAAAAAATGATGCATGAACACTATCAATTTCCTTTTCAATCTTAAACTCCTCAATCAGATCCCCCCTAACTTCAGAGATTTCAACCTCCTTGTATATCAATCCCTCCATCCCAGGCACCATTCTAGTAACCCTACTCTGAACCCTTTCCAACAATTCAATGTCTTTCCTAAGGTAAGTAGCCCAGAACTGAACATAATATTCCATATGTGGCCTAACCAGTGACCTTTACAATGAAATTATAACATATTTAGACATGTATTCAAAATTTCTGTAAGATACAACCTAAAATCCTATTTTCGCTACCACTAGCAACAGCACACTCTTTGGATGGCTTTATAGACTAATCAACTATTACACCAAGATCCCTTTCTTTCATGACACTGTTAAGGTTATTCCCATCCAAATTATATTTATAATTGAAATTATGATAACCCACATGCATTATCTTGCATTTATTATAATTAAAATCCATTTGCTATTTATTTGCCCAACTCACTAAATGATTTAAATCCTTTTGTAAATCAGCAGCATTCTCGTCACAGCCAGCAACATTCAAGACCTTAATATCATCCGCAAATTTAAGTAATTTATGGACCATTCCTTCATCTTTATCATTGATGTAAGTTAAACAGTGCAAAGGTCCTAAGACTCAGACCTGAGGTACCCCACTCGTGACATTAATCCAGTTTGACTGAACTTATTTATAACAATCCTCTGCTTTCTTCCATCCAGCCACTTTTCCTTCCAATTTGCTATCTTATCCGTCACACCTATAGTTTGTTTGTTTCTAATTAAGCACAAAGCTACACAATGAGCTATCTCTGCTCTGCCCACCACGGGTATCGAAACCAGGTTTCTAATGTTGTAAGTCCGCAGACATACTGGGGGGCCACACCTATAGAGATATTTTTTTACAAGCCTTTTATGTGGCACATTGTCAAATGCTTTCTGAAAATCCAGATACACCAAATCTATACTCTTACCCTCATCTACATAAGCAGTAACATTTTCAAAGAATGTCAAGATTTGTAAAGCAAGAATTTTCCTTAGTGAAACCATGTTGACTATCCAATAAAATTCTAAACTTTGTTAAATGACTTTGCAAAGCATCTTTTATCAGACTTTTGAAAACTTTTCCCACAATTGACGTAAGATTAATGTTATAATTTTTCTACACTGAAAATGTATTTCCGATAAGTTCTTACCTCTTTTCACATAAATAGTTATTCTCGTTCAGTCGTGTCCTCTATATGCAAACAAAAATTATGCATGCCACAAGCCTTTTATCTCCCCTCCATTGGAATTGGCTGATTCCAATGTATCTCTTATGCAAATCATCATGCATTAACCCTTCACCAATATGAGTGCAACATACTCTCATGACACATATGACTCCCTGTATTCGATTCTACCAAACTATCACTTCGAGTTGTGGCAGAAGATGGAAGCACTGGATTACAGTGGGGAGGAAGGGTGAAAGGAGGTAAGTACCTATCAGAAATACATTTTCAGAATAGGAAAATTGTTACTTCGGATATGGTACATTACCTCTTCTCACATAAATAACTAGAATACAACATTGAATAGGTGGAGGGACCGGTGCAAAGGAATAAAAGAAGCATCCGAAAGACATTCCCTGAGATGAGACAGATTCTAAGATCTGATGTGGGGAACAGCACCACTTCTGAACCAGATATACTCTTTGTCCATCGTGGAAAGATATCACATACCGTATTTTTCGGTGTATAAGACGCACTTTTTACCCCCACATTTGACGTCAAAATCTGCTTGCGTA